ATCACAATAACACTTTGGTACTCCGGAGGGGTAGCTCCAATGGACTCAGCTTCGATCACCCCCTTCAGCCTCTGGGCAATGCCTTGACACAGAACTTGCACTCCTTCAGATGTCACATGAGTCCAGTCATCTGGCTCTCTGGTCGGTCTGTAAGGCCTCTGAGAAAAAGCATCTGCATCTCTATTCCCTGTTCCAGGTTGATATTTCAGATTGACCTGGAATCCTGACAATGGATGTGTCACATACCTGACCGGAGGCTGCAATAGAGAGAGGGCTCCCCATACGGCTAAGTGCAGTGCAGTGCGCCCTGGAGGTGTAAACAGGAGGTGCAGTGCCCAAAGAAGCATGGGTTGCCAGTGGTGTTGCTGCTTGGAAATGTCTGATGAGATGGAACCCGTGGGTGCTCCAGTTGCAGGAGGAGTTTCTTCAGAGAACACGTGGATTCCAGAGGATGGGTAGTGTAGCCAGTAGCCAGAGCCAGGATCAATATGGAACAGCAGACAAGAGCAATGTCAGGATCAAGCCGGGGTCATACACAGAGTAGCAGCAGACAGGAGCAATGTCAGGATCAAGCCAGAGTCATACACAGAGCAGCAGACAGGAACAAGGTCAGGATCAAGCTGGGATCATACACAGAGCAGCAGACAGGAACAAGGTCAGGATCAAGCTGGGATCATACACAGAGCAGCAGACAGGAACAAGGTCAGGATCAAGCTGGGATCATACACAGAGCAGCAGACAGGAACAAGGTCAGGATCAAGCTGGGATCATACACAGAGCAGCAGACAGAAACAAGGTCAGGATCAAGCTGGGTCGGTAACAGGCAATCAGCAGGAAACTCAGGAACACAGGAATGGGAGGGGCTGACGATAATCCAGCAATCACTGAGCAGAGCTGCAGTCCTTATAAAGGCCACTGAGTGACAGCAATTAGTGCACCCTGCGTGTGCTGGTGTGTTTTCGTGCACAGGAATGCTTTATTACTTGTCGCCCACCTATGCGCATGTGCACTTCTTTGCACAAATTGGCGTGGCCATATTGCGCATTAGCTCATTTGCCCGGGCTTCCTCGTCTTTTCCTCTGAATGGATGGTAGCATCCAGCTTGGCTGAGGTCAGTAGATATGTCAAAGGATTATTGTCAGTCTTCATCACGAAAGAGGTCCTGTACAAATAGTCTTTCAACTTGTCTGTCACTTGCCATTTTAAGGCCAGAAACTCCAGCTTGTACAAATTCTTCTCGGACAAAGTCAAGCTTCGATTCACATAGGCTACGGGGTGAAAGGCACCATCCTATTCCTGATATAGCACTCCTCCCAACCCCTCTTGACTGGCATCCACATGAAGCTCATATGGATTAGCCGGGTCTGCGTAAGCCAACATGGGTGCTTTCGTAAGGCTTCTCTTGAGGTGATTGAAAGCCTCTTCACACTGAGGGGTCCACTGCCCCTGGATAGATTCTCTTGACATCCAGGCCCCTTGGCTCACTTGTCATAGCTGGCAGTCTTCGTCATCCCCCTCATTCTTGAGTAACTCAATAAGGGGATGGGCAATCCTTGCGAAGTTCACCACAAATCTCCGATAGTAGGAGCAGAATCCTAGAAAAGACCTCAGTTCCATCACAATCCTTGGTTGGGCCAAGTTGTGACAGCTTCCAGCTTCTTTGGGTCTGTAGCAATGCCTTTGGCAGAAACAACATGTCCTAAGTAAGTGACAGAGGTTTGGTAGAACTGGAACTTCTCTAATGACAGCTTCAGCCCCTCTTCATGAAGTCTCTCAAATACCTTTTTGAGCCTTGCCTTATGCTCCTCCAAGGTCTTTCTGAAGACAATTATGTCATCCAGGTAAACCAATCCCTTGATTAGGTTCATGGCACCAACAGTATGCTCCATCAGTCGCTGGAAAGTGGATGGAGCTCCCAACAACCCTTGAGGCATCCTGTTGAATTTAAAGAACCCCAGCGGGCAGATGAATGCTGTCTTCTTCCTAACCTCTGGATGCATTGGGATCTGGTAATATCCACTCTTCAGGTCCAACATGCTAAACCATTTTTCCCCCGACAGGCATTGAAGAGCATCCTCAATACGTGAAGTTGTGTACTGGTCAAGGATGGTCCTTCTATTCAAGGTTCGGTAGTCAGTGCACATTTGCAGTGTCCAATTCTTCGTTCTCACCACTACAATAGGGGAAGCATAAGGACTCCTGGATTCCTGAATGACCACTGATCTCTTCAGCTTAGCAAGCTGCTCCCTGAGATCTTCCAGGTTACTGAGCGGGACCCGCCCTGGTCTCTCCCTGAACGGCTTGTCTTCCTGCAGCCGAATCCAATGCTGAGCACTTCTGGCACATCCCACATCAAAGTAATTCCTGGAGAACATCTTCTCCCACCTAGACAACTGATCTTGGACTCTATGCTGCCACTCAGGAGGCAATGACTCAGTCAAGGACAGGAACTGTCCCTCCAGCTTCTCAAGGACCCCTGTAATGTACCACCTGGCGGTACCTCTAGCAACCCACGGGATAGGATTCCCCAGAGCGCGGAGTATAAGTCCCAGTCTGCTTGTTCACCAGGCCCCTGATGGTGGGTTTGGACTTGGAGCAGACAGAGACCTGAGTACACCACCCATGGTAGAGGATCTGCCAGAGGTATCTGCAGGATAAGAGCCTGATGTGAAGAGGCGGATGGGTCCGAGCAGGACAGATGGATGGATGGCTGAGCAGAAGCGTGGTCAGACAGGCCGGGTGGGTAACCGTGGGGACAGCGCGGTACACGGCAGCAGGCAGAGAATAGTTGGGTCACTCGCCGGGTCAGTAACGGAAGGTCAGATCCAATGAGGGGCATCAAAGGAGAGGTCAGGCAAGCCAGGGGTCAGAGCAGGAAAAGACAGCATGGTCGGGAACAATCAGGGTCGGCAACAATCAATCAGCACAGATATAGGAGCAGGAACATCAGATGAGACCATACGTCAACCAGTGTCAGTGCAGAGCGGATTTAAATACCGCGCCCTGCGCTGTCATTGGTGCCTGGCGCACACCCGTGGTCCTGAGTGCGCATGCGTGAGTTCCGTCGTCGCCGCCCAATACCTAGTGCCTAGTGCCCGCACGCCAGTGCGAATCAGCACACTGCGCCGAGCTACACGCCGTGGTGGCTCCTGACAACCCCTTTCTCAGACATCCCTGTAGGAGCCACCAGAGTGGCTGGACTCACTAGCCAAATCAGCATTCAAGCCTTCAATGTGACTGGCTGATCCAGAGGCTGACTGGCACTTCCGCTTTGGGTCAGAGCTTTGGTGGGCACTATCTCTGACACCAATTTACTCCTGCTCCATCTGGCTGCAGGTCTGTTTCCAAGACAACAAAGGGGCCTTGCTGATCCCAAGTCAACTTGACATCAGCTTTCATGCAGAATATCTCTGTCAGGGCTCCCAGGTGTGACCAGAGGTGTGTGGCTGACGCAGGGAAACGCAGACCTCAGATATGTTATAAACAATATAATTTATTAACACTAACAATACAAACATAAACGCAGTGCAATACTAAAACATAATACAGTGCAACCAAACCAAACCAAACCAACCACCCACAGATAACAGTACATACAAGCAAGCGTCGTCAGGCAGGCCGGGTCAATATCAATAGGGCAGGTAGGTACAGGGGGAGCAAGCGGAGATTGGTCGGGGTCACAGGCCAGGTTCAGCAGGTAGCAAGCAGCGTAGTACAGAGGGTCAGGCAGAGGGATGGTCAGGGTCACAAGCCAGGGATCAGAACAGGTAGCAAGCAGCGTGGTACAGAGGGTCAGGCAGAGGGATGGTCAGGAGTGAGCCGAGATCAAAGCAGGAGAAGTCAGCAGCGGTTCAGAAACAGGATACAGGACAGAAACAGGATACAGGGCCCAGGACAAACACAACACCAAGGCAGAGTCTGTGGGTCTGGCCATCCCTTAAATACCCCAGCATAATCAGTTCCAGGTGTTAGCTGGCTGCAAAGTTGAGTCTCTGATTGCTGGGAGCATCCGCTGGCCAGCCCTGGTACTGCAGATCAAAAGGCAGGTGAGTCCCACCATTGCTGGCCAGTCCATTCCTGACAGTACCCCCCCCTCAAGGAGCGGCCTCAGGACGCTCCAAACAGTCCTAGCTGGGAAAAATGTTCCACCGCCCGGGTCTGGTAACTGGCGGGATATCAAAGACTGGCACACCGGGCAGGACTCCGGGCAGTGGTACACCGGGCAGAGGCACATCGGGCTGGACTCCGGGCAGAGGCACACCGGGCTGGACTCCGGGCAGAGGCACACCGGGCTGGACTCCGGGCAGAGGCACACCGGGCTGGACTCCGGGCAGAGGCACACCGGGCTGGACTCCGGGCAGAGGCACATCGGGCAGAGGGCACATCGGGCTGGACTCCGGGCAGAGGCACATCGGGCTGGACTCCGGGCAGAGGCACATCGGGCTGGACTCCGGGCAGAGGCACATCGGGCTGGACTCCGGGCAGAGGCACATCGGGCTGGACTCCGGGCAGAGGCACATCGGGCTGGACTCCGGGCAGAGGCACATCGGGCTGGACTCCGGGCAGAGGCACATCGGGCAGGACTCCGGGCAGAGGCACATCGGGCAGGACTCCGGGCAGAGGCACATCGGGCAGGACTCCGGGCAGAGGCACATCGGGCAGGACTCCGGGCAGAGGCACATCGGGCTACCAGGCGAAGCAGCAGGCAGCGGGCCACCAGGCGGAGCGGCAGGCACCGGGCCCCCGGGCGGGGGCAGGCATCGGACCCCCCAGGCGGGGCGACAGGCATCGGGCCCCCAGGCGGAGCGGCGGGCGCCGGCGCCCCCAGGCGGAGCTACAGGTCTCGGGCCCTCAGGCGGAGCGGCGGGCGCCCGGACCCCCAGATGGAGCGACAGGTCTCGGGCCCTCAGGCGGAGCGTGGGGTGCCGGACCCCCAGATGGAGCGACAGGTCTCGGACCCTCAGGCGGAGCAACAGGTCTCAGGCCCCCAGACGAAGCGGCGGGCACCGAGTCCTCTGGCAAGACTGCGGGCACCGAGTTGTCTGGCAAGACTGCGGGCACCGAGTCAACTGGCGGAACAGCGGGCATCGAGTCAACTGGCGGAACTGCGGGCATTGAGTCAACTGGCAAGACTGCGGGCACCGAGTCGTCTGGCAAGACTGCGGGCACCGAGTCGACTGGCGGAACAGCGGGCACCGAGTCGTCTGGCAAGACTGCGGGGGCACCGAGTCGTCTGGCAAGACTGCGGGCACCGAGTCGTCTGGCAAGACTGCGGGCACCGAGTCGTCCGGCAAGACTGCGGGCATCGAGTCGTCTGGCAAGACTGCGGGCACCGAGTCGTCTGGCGGAACAGCGGGCACCGAGTCGTCTGGCAAGACAGTGGGCTCCGAGTCAACAGGCACGACAGTGGGCACCGGGTCATCAGGTATCGGATTGTCTGGCTCGACAGCGGGCATCGGGTCACCAGGTATGACAGCGGGCACTGGGTCACCAGGCATCAGGTCATTTGGCTTGCCAGCGGGCACCGCGTCATCTGGCAAGGCAGTGGGCACCGGGTCACCAGGTATGACAGCGGGCTCTGAGTCAATTGGCACGACAGCGGGCACTGGATCAGGTACCGGATCATCTGGATCAACAGCGGGCATCGAGTCAACTGGCCTAATAGGATCGTCGGGCTGGATCAGTTCATCATGCTGAGTAGCGGCATCAGGCTGAATGCAGGCATCAGGCTGAGTAGAGGCTTCAGGCTGAGTAGAGGCATCAGGCTGAGTAGAGGCATCAGGCTGAGTGAGGCAGAGGCATCAGGCTGAAGAGAGGCATCAGGCTGAAGAGAGGCATCAGGCTGAAGAGAGGCATCAGGCTGAAGAGAGGCATCCGGCTGAAGAGAGGCATCCGGCTGAAGAGAGGCATCCGGCTGAAGAGAGGCTTCAGGCCGAGTAGAGGCTTCAGGCCGAGTAGAGGCTTCAGGCTGAGTCACGGAAGGCCGGTTCACCGGTTTGGATACTGGCAGGATGGTATTGGTTGGAAAGAATTTTCGCTTTTTTCTGGTTTTAACTACTGGAGCACTGCAAGTAAACGCAGGTCTGCAAACGAATGGAGCAGCTGGAGACAGAGAAAAACTGGAGGATGGAACAGGAGAGGGAGCAATTGCTACAGAGGGCTTTTTTACAGGGTTAAAGGCAGGATAGGTGCAGCGAGTGGGAACAGGGTACTGACATGCGGTAGATAGCCAAGTATACTGGGCTGTAACTGGGGAGCTGGTGGGAATACAGGAGTAGAGTTAGAAGCAGGACTGGGTTTTTGTAAGCTGACTGAGGCTGGGTGCAACAAGTCTGTCCATGTCTGCAGTAGGGGTTGAACAAAGCTGAGCTTACACAAAGCCTGTCTGGTCAATGACTGCACTGCGTTTATACAATCTCTTAGTGTCTGTGGTGAACATGTGGAATAACGCTCCAGAAAGTAACCCACATCATCCTCTAATAACCACACCAGGGACTCTACCTGGTCTGCACTAAATGGTGGCAAAAATTCATCCCTGCATTCGGGGGAACCAGATGAAACCAACTCAGCACAAACCTCAATCAAAGGCTGCACCTCAGAGAACTCTGTGCCCTGATCTACTAGAACATGAGCGAGCCGTATACATTCTAGTAGTTGATCCCTGGGATACTCCTTCAGAGTTTGATAAGCATACTCCCTGTCATCAAACACTAGCAGATATAAATACACAACCTCATCCAGATCCATCCTTCCCAGCAACAAGCCAAGATGGCTTCCCTGTGCAGCCACTTCTGGTCAGGATTGGCCTTGGTGTAATGTCAGGGCTCCCAGGTGTGACCAGAGGTGTGTGGCTGACGCAGGGAAACGCAGACCTCAGATATGTTATAAACAATATAATTTATTAACACTAACAATACAAACATAAACGCAGTGCAATACTAAAACATAATACAGTGCAAACCAAACCAAACCAACCACCCACAGATAACAGTACATACAAGCAAGCGTCGTCAGGCAGGCCGGGTCAATATCAATAGGGCAGGTAGGTACAGGGGGAGCAAGCGGAGATTGGTCGGGGTCACAGGCCAGGTTCAGCAGGTAGCAAGCAGCGTAGTACAGAGGGTCAGGCAGAGGGATGGTCAGGGTCACAAGCCAGGGATCAGAACAGGTAGCAAGCAGCGTGGTACAGAGGGTCAGGCAGAGGGATGGTCAGGAGCGAGCCGAGATCAAAGCAGGAGAAGTCAGCAGCGGTTCAGAAACAGGATACAGGACAGAAACAGGATACAGGGCCCAGGACAAACACAACACCAAGGCAGAGTCTGTGGGTCTGGCCATCCCTTAAATACCCCAGCATAATCAGTTCCAGGTGTTAGCTGGCTGCAAAGTTGAGTCTCTGATTGCTGGGAGCATCCGCTGGCCAGCCCTGGTACTGCAGATCAAAAGGCAGGTGAGTCCCACCATTGCTGGCCAGTCCATTCCTGACAATCTCACCCGGCTGCAGCACTCTCTCTCCTGCTCCTAGCCTCCATAGTCTTCCTACCCCTTCAGCCAGGGCGTTCTGTTCTCGGACCATCTGTTTAAAGGCCTGATGCAATTGAGGATGTATTCTTCTAAGCACAAAATCATCCTTCCCATCCAGCGGAGCTAATAACCTTCTCACCAAGTCAGTATTGGTCCCTATCAGCATTGAGTTTTGATCTGCACCTGGGGGTCAAAGGTTTCTGTCTTCCCTCCTATGGATGACCCAAAGGTAATCTTGATTGGGATGTAGCCATCATAGGGGAATTACTCAGATCAAATTCCCCCAATCTCTGGCTCTTCCAGTTTACGCATGTGTTTCAGATATCTATCATAGAAATCCCTGTATAACAGTGTCACTTGTGCACAAGTATCCAGTAGAGCTTTGGTGTAAATCTCTTCCACCTGTACTGACACTATAGGAGAAGGGCCTATAAGTTTATCTGGCAAGTTGGCTCTCTTTCTGGAATGGGTTAAGTTCCCTCCCCTCCTTGTTAACTGCTGAAAAGACCTAGCAGTGGCTCTGGGGGGTGGTGGCACATTGACTCCCTGTGTCCTTTGTCCCATCTTTGGTGGCTGGATCTCTGGCTGGGGTAAAGGGGCAGCTGTACGAGCTGAAGACTTCCTCTTATGCCTTGATTTGGATTTCTTGGAGCCCCAAACTTTGTTGGGATTCTCAGTTGGCTCCTTCACTGAGGCCCCCTTTGAAGTTTCCCTCCTTCTGGGCAAGCATGACTTTTTGTAACTCTTTAAATACTTCAGTTGCATTGTCTGGATAATCCCTTCTCTATAGACACTGAACTTGTAGATGCCCCCATTATTTGCAGCAGAAGCCTTCTCTCAGGTCAGACGTAGTCGCTTGCAATTTAGCCTGAGTCTCCAAGGCCTGTAATAGGGCATGTTGTACCCTGCCTTGGGTCTGAATGACTTGAGTCAGCAGTTAAACTGGGACCACCTCACTGATGGTCTTGATAATAGAAGGATTTGAGTATTCCTCTGCCTCAGTCTCCATATCACTGCCATCTGCAGGAACACCCTCTTCCGCTTGATTCATCTAGGTTGACACTCTCTTCCTTGACATTATGTTTTGGCAGCTCTTGAAATCTCTTTTCAGCTAGAAAGGCTTCTTCTTCCCTTACTTCCTTTACCAGCACAGGATTGGTGGAGGCCACTTGTATACCCCTAAGTAACAGTTTTAGCACGATCGGGTGATTAGGCCTAGCACCCTGCAGAACGCATTCCATATGGACCTTGTCTTGGGGATCAATCCCTTTCTTAAGAATAATTTGGTGTAGGATCCGATCCACTCTAGTTATATAGTCAGACAGTTTCTCACCCTTACATTGATAGGTGTGATCAAACTTGTACTTCAGATCTGGTACCTTCTCTACCCTACCGAACACAGCATACAAGGCTTCACTGTAGTCCATAGCCACACAGTCTGGTTTCCCCATCTGCAGACTATGAATCACTTCAGCAGCTGGGCCCCTAAGAATCTCACTCAATCTCTGTATTTTTACCGCCTCTGGGACACCCAGTCATCCACTGCTTGTAGAGCTTGATCCATCCAGCTTTCCAGCTTTTCCTCGCCAGTAAGGGTTGGACTCTGCCCAGAGAAGAACCGAAGCTTTCGGTATCCCTCATTCACCGAGGCTGCCTTACTCCTAACTACGCTCTCCAGCTTGCTCAAATCAGTGTAAAAGGAGGCAGGGAGCAGACTGGCCATGGGTACATCAGTTTCCACCGATGCTTCTGTCCCACGAATGATCTTCTACCAGGTCTCCAACAGGCATCAGGGGTATTATTCGAGCCTCAACCCCTTGAGCCAAACTCACAACATACTTCTTGAAGCAAGGCGGTACAGCCTCTCTCCACTCTGGCACGGCATGTGTGCAGTCTAAGCCAAACTCAGTCCTCATGTTAATAAGATAAGCTCTTTGTCCTGGTACAGCTCTCTTCACTAGCTGCTGGACCCTCCTTTCAGTCCATTCACTTCCAGGTATTTCCACCACTGTACACTCCAGTTGGCTACCTTGTTACTGGCCCCACACTGCCACTGCGGCTGGATCCTTCCACTCTCCGTCTCTCGGTTCATCAATCTGCTTGCTAGGACCAACCATGAGGGGTAGCCCCCAAATGTAGAGCTACCCTCATGAGTGCCACTGTAAGATAACAGTCCCCAAAGGTTGCCCTGACCTTGCAAGCCTCCTTACACCTCTGGCACCTTGGGCTCAGACATAATGCACAAGAAGTCAAGATTTCAAAGACACCAAATTGCAGTGCACAATTGAGTATTTGTTAATGGTTCTTTAGTTGCAGACAGTTAAAGCAAATACTTCTTAAGACAGTAACCTGATTACTAATCTCAAAAGGAAACACAAAGGTGCGTTCAGTAGTGAACACAACAAGTCAGCAGTATTTCAAATATACTCAAAGAGAGCCTTTGACCTCAGGTATGAAAGGGAGAAGAAAGACCTTTCTTAGTGTCAGACTGCTCCCTTAGAATCCCGATGCCACAGGTACGAAAATATCAACACTCTTTGGGAGAGCTAGATGTATGATATATGCTATATAAACAAATTCTAAATAGATTTTTCCCTTTAATATAAGCACTGATGTGAGGCACAGAGTCCTTGTCTTTGAGAGTAGTCAAAGGGAGTCTTGAAGAAATTAGTGTCCTGAATATCCGGCTAGTTCAATAGAGACCCGAAGAGATTGCTGTGCAATGGCAACCAGCAATCCTTGACATTGTAGGTAAATTACTCCAGGTAAAGGTTACAGATGTACAGTCAGATGTATAGTAAAGGTGTCTGCATGCAGTGTACCAGTGTAGAGTGTACACAGTGTGGGCTTCAGACCACTTGCCAATCCTGATGACACTACGGCTCAAGGGATTCAGGATGTCCTGGAAGGGCTCCTGCAGAATCTGCACCAGGGGCATCAGGCCTATCCCCATGCGACACTGGGTCTCCACTGTAACTGTAGTGGCGATGCTGCTAACCAACTCTGGACAGTCACTCTGCTGAATGGAAGCTCTCCCACTACAGAT